AACTTCCCTGAAGTACAAGGGAAGCAAGAGTCCTTTGGGAAGGAGGAATTGAAGGAATTAATCTTAGTAGGGCATAAGTGTTAGAAAAATTAATGGGACTGAAAGCTGATAAATCCCCAAAGCCTGATAATCTACACCCCTGTTTACTAAAGGAGGTGGCCACAGTGAATGTACTGCTTGTCATCATCATAATTCCATGGATTCTAAACAGTCCTGTTAGTTTGGAAAAAATATGATACTGCTCTTTAACAAAGGAGGGAAGCAGAAAAGCAGGAATTACAGACAGGTTGGCCTAACATCAGTAGTCGGAAAAATGCTAAAATATATTACAAAGGATGTACTAGCAGGGTACTTAGAAAATACTAATGGGATTGCACAAAGTCAACATGGATTTATGAAAGACAAGGCTACAGGAGGTTTTTGAGAAAGTAACTAGTAGAATCAATAAGGGAGAAGCAGTGGATGTGGTATATTTGGATTTTTGGAAAGTTTTTGATAAAGGTCCACACAAGCAGTTGTTGTGCCAAAACAAAGCACATGGAATTGATGGTAAAATACTGGCATAGATTGAGAACTGGTTAGCAGACTGGAAACAGGGAATAGGAATAAATTAGTCTTTTTTGAAATTGAAGGCAGTGACAAGTGAGGGACCACAGGAATCTGTGCTTGGGCTCTAGCCATTCACAATATATATCAAGGTTTAGATGAAGAAATCAAGTACAATATTTTCAAGTTTACTGATGTTAGAGAACAGGGGGAAATGTGAAAACGCCCCATTGGCCTTCACCGCAGGGGAATTTGCATTCAGGAGGAAAGATGTCTTGCTGAAGCTGTACACGGCCTCAGTGAGACCACTGCTATCAGCAGTTTTTGTCACCTTACCTAAGAAAAGATATCCTTTCTATAGATGGAAATCAGCCAAGGGTCACCAGCTTTTCCTAGGTGGCAATTTTGTCATATAAGGATTGGGTGGGCTAGGACTGTATTCACTGGAGTTTATAAGAATGAGAAGGGTTCTCACAGAAACTAGAAAATTCTGCTGGGGCTAAATGCATGGACGCTGTTCCACTAGTCAGGGGGTTCAGTACGCAGGGTCATGGCCTCAAGATATGTGTTAGGTCATTTCAGACTGAGATGAAGAGAAATCTGTCAGAGGGTGGTGGCTCTGTGGAATTCTTGAGCACAAGTCACTGAATATATTTAAAAAAGACATAGATAGATTTCAAATCATAGACTCATAGAGATATACAGCATGGAAACAGACCCTTCAGTCCAACTCATTTATGCTGACCAGATCTCCCAAATTAACCTAGTCCCAATTGCCAGCATTTGGCCCATATCCCTCTAAACCCTTACTATTCAGATATCCATCCACATGCCTTTTAAATGTTGTAATTGTACCAGCCTCTACCACTTCCTCTGGCAGCTCATTCCATACATGCACCACCATCTGCATGAAAAGGTTGGCACTTAGGTCGCTGTTAAAACTTTCCACTCTCACCTTAAACCTATGCCCTCCAGTTTTGGACTCCCCTAATCCAGGAAAAGAACTTGTCTATTTACCCTATCCATGCCCCTCATGATTTTATAAACCTCTATAAGGTCACCCCTCAGCCTCCGATGTTCCAGGGAAAATAGCTACAACCTATTCAGCCTCTCTGTTTAGCTCAACCCCTCCAACATCCTTGTAAATCTTTTCTGAATCCTTCCAAGCTTCACAACATCCTTTCTATAGAAGGGAGACCAGAACTGAACACATTATTCCAAAAGTGGCCTAACCAATGTCCTCTATAGCCACAACGTCACCTCCCAACTGCTATACTCAATGCACTGACCAATAAAAGCAAGCATAAATGCCTTCTTCACTATCCTATATACCTGGGACCCCACTTTCAAGGAAATATGAACCTGCATTCCAAGGTCTCTCTGTTCAGCAACACTCCTCAGGACCTCACCATTAAGTGTATAAGTCCTGCCCCGATTTGCCTTTCCAAAATGCAGCACCTCACATTTATCTAAATCAAACTCCATCTGCCACTCCTCAGCTCATTGGCCCATCTGATTGAGATCCCATTGTTCTTTGAGGCAACCTTCTTCACTGTCCACAAAATCTCCAAGTCATCTGTAAACTTACTAACCATCCCTCCTATGTTCACATTCAAATCATTTATATAAATGACAAAAAGCAGTGAACCCAGCCCCGACCTTTGTGGCACATCGCTGGTCACAGGCCTCTAGTCTGAAAAGCAACCCTCCACCACCACCCTCTGTCTTCCAACCTCGAGCCAGTTCTGTATCCAAATAACTAGTTCTCCCTGTATTCCATGTGATTTAACCTTGCTAACCAGTCTACCCTGAGGGACCTTGTCAAACATCTTACTGAAGTCTATACAGATCACCTCCACTGCTCTGCCCTCAACAATCCTCTTTGTTACTTCTTCAAAAATCTTAATCAAGTCAGTGAGACACAATTTCCGACGCACAAAGCCATGTTGACTATCCCAACATCCTGGTAAATCTTTTCTGAACCATATCCACTTTAATAATATCCTTCCTACAGCAGAGTAACCAGAACTGCACACAGTACTCCAGAATAGGCCTCACCAACATCCTGTACAACCTCAATATACATCCCAACTCCTATACTCAAAGGTCTGAGCAATGAAGGCAAGTGTGCTAAATGCCTTCTTAACCACCCTGTTGACCTGTGATGTAAATGTCAGAGAAATAATACGCTTGAACCCCTAGGTCTTTCTGTTCTACAGCACTACCCAGGGCCCTACCATTAACTGTATGAGTCCTGCCCTTGTTTGTTTTACAAAAATGCAATACCTTGCATTTATCCAAATTAAACTCCATCTGCCACTCCTCAGCCTTTTGACCCAATTGATCAAGATCTCTTTGTAATCTTAGTTAACCTTCTTCACTGTCCACTATACCACCAATTTTGGTGTCATCTGCAAACTTACTAACCTTATCTCCTAATATCTCCTACAAATAGTTTATACAAATGACAAACAAAAGTGGATCCAGTACCGATCCCTATGGAACACTGCTGGTCACAGGCCTGCAGTATAAAAATCAATTGTCCACCACCACCCTCTGTCTCCTACCGTCAAAACCAATTTTATATTATAGGCAAGCTCACTCTGAATCACATGATCTAATTTTACTAACTAGTCTACCATGTGGAACCTTGTCAAAAGCTTTATTAAAGTCCAAGAAAATAAGGTCTACTGTTCTTATCAATCCTTTAGACTTCAGTCCCACTCCACTGACAAAAACCCATAGTCTCCATTGTTGCTTCTGGATAAGTACCGAGGGCATGTTGCCCTCGGAGGTTTAATCTTTCAAATGAAGTGTTAACTCATAGTTTGTCTCCTTTCTTAAGCAAATATAAAATATTCAAAGAATTCTCCCTAGGATACTATTTATCCCTTAACCAATGGCACAAAAAGAATAACCAAATTACCTCTTTGCAGTTTCTGGGATCATACCATGCACAAATTGTCTGCCCCTATTGTAGCACTGATCACACATTTCTAAACTACTTAATTTGCTGCAAGACACTTCCCTCCTAAAGTCCTAATTCATATTATTGCAAATTCATCCTATTCTGACATTGATGGATTTTTTATCCTTCTGTACAATCAGAGGCTATAAGAACAGTAAGTACATTATGAAGGTCAGCAGAGCTTGTTTCGGATGGCAGCCTGTCCTGTTCTGTTACGTCTGTTTCCTGGGGATCCCATTTAAACAGGTCCACTTGAGGCATTCCATGACTGCTGGGTTGCAGACAGACTTGAGTGCATTGTCCACATGGAGACAAATAACTTCTTTTGTGGCTTTTGTAACCTCATTGCATAATCCTAATTTAAGGTGTCAACTGTGGTTCAGTGGGTCACACTTTTTGAGGTCTCTTGTCCTGCAGTGGTAGTGTTGCCACCGCTGGACTAGGAATCCCAGGTTCAAGCCCCACATGCTCCATAGGTGTGTCATAACATCTCTGAACAGATTGATTACAGAAATCTGTAATCAGGGTTCACAAGGTTGACCCAGATATGGGGGGATTTTGTTAGGCGGAGAGTTTGAGTGGGTTGGGCTTCTACTCAGAGTTGAGACAAAATCAGAAATTATTGAAATATATGAGACTCTTCCAGGGCTTGAAAGGGTTGATGTGGAGAGTTTGTTTTCCATTGTGCAACAGCCTAGGATGAGTGGGCATAATATCAGAATAAAGGATTGCTCATTTAGGACAGAGATGAGGAGGATTTTCTTCTCTCAGAAGGTAGTGAATCTGTGAAATTCTTTCCTGCCGACTGGTGTTGAGACTGGGTCATTACGTCTATTTAAGGCTGAGATTTACAGATGTTTAATCAGTAAGAAAATCAAGGATTATGGGAAAAAGCAGGAAAGTGGAGTTGAGGAATATCAGATCAGCTATGATCTCATTGAATGACAAGAGCAGACTTTCTGGACTGAATGGCCAACTTCTGCTCCTTCATCATACGGCCTGAAACAGAGAGGTTAGGGACACTTGTGAATTTTATTGGGAATAAATGACTCAAATCCACCTGATGATTTAGAGGCAAGGCTGTATGCCCAGTGAGTGTGGAAACTGTAACAGTCAGGCAATGGTACAGGGTTCTTGTGATGCGATAGTGCTACTACCTCTGGACCAGGAGACCTGGGTTCAAATCCCGTCTGCTCCAGAGATTTTAAGAGGCTCTTATGGAACAGTGGTAGTGTTTCTACCTCTGAACCAGGAGGCCTTGATTCAATTGGAACCCTGCTCCAAAGATTGAACGGGTTGATCAGAAAGTACCTCTGCTCAGGGTAGCCTGAGGACACGTGCTACGGCCTTTCCCGCGCCCCGGGGAAAGGTTACAGCGAGGTGGGCGTGACCCGGTGACGTCAACCTGCCTGCGCGCTGACGCAATGCCCCAGCGTACGTGCGTGACGGGGTGACGTAAAGGTGGGTCCAGTCAGTTGGTCAGTGTCTGGAAGAGATTGAGTGTGTGTGTGAGGGGAGGAAGGTGGGAGGGGGTGAGGATAGAGGATAGAGGGAAAGAGGGAAAGGCAGGGGCAGGGGCAGGGGCAGGGGCAGGGAAGAGAGAAGAAAGGCTGTGTTCAGCTGGAGGAGATGGAGAGGAACAGCAACAGGACGGTGGTGGTTACAGGTAAGTGAGATTGAGACTGGTGTTACTTTGTATCTCCTGCACTTTGTTGCAGTCGCTGGGCTCTGGATACACCTTAGCCTAGTATCTGCTGCTCACATTGTCATCACTCCCAACCCCATCCCTTCCCTCTCCTCCCTTCACGATCTTTTCCTATGGCCGCTTTACTGTCGAGTCTTTGACAGGATTGCCTTTATGTTTATCTGTCGTTTTTTTGCGAACTTCACAGTGTTTCCTTTTGAAGTATTGTTGCCTGCCTGAGCAAAGTTTAGTTCAGCATAACTTCTTAGAAGTAAGAGTCCTTTGAAGTATATACACCTGTTGATAAGCGAGTGAGAGAAAATGGTGTTGTTACTAATTAAACCGTTTGCAATTTTTGTCAACAGTAGTTAAGTTTGAAAGTGATGTATGCGTGCTGTAAATTGTCATTTCCTATTTTTGTAGATTTATGTATATCATCTGATTTGGGCTAATTTGAAAGGGACCCAGACATTTAAGAAAACACATAGGGGCAAGACAGAGAAAAGGACTGTTTCAGTGTCTTTTTTTTTGATGTGTTAGGCACGGTTGGGGAGCCATTATACTAACTCTCCAGAGCTGTACTAGACAAAGAAAGGGACAAGGGAGTTGGTCAGACAGGGGCAGAGACTGGGCCAGACAGTAAAATTCAGCAGAGGAGACCATGCATGAAAGGCTTGGGATTGTTGAGTGTCTGCAGAAACAGTGACATGACTTGAGAGTGTTGTGACGACTTGCCTGACTGCAAATAGCTAGGGTCTTTAACCAGTTAGAGATAGTAGCATGTGGATGGGGCAAGGAAGCAGTCAGACAGACAAAACAGGTTAGTGCTTATGAAGCTTGAACTTAGAGATCAGAAATAGTGTCCAGAATTTTTCTTTTAAAATTACCTCTAAATAATGACAGGGATTGTCAAGTTCAGTGCTTACACTGAAACTGAAAATCTTTTGAGTCGTGAGATGTTTGGAGTGTTTGATTTCACTTTCCACACGTTTTGTGCTATTTTGAAAGAGACCAATGGGAGATTGGAGAAGAAGAAATCTGATAAGTGAAAGGGAGACAATATTTATATAATGCATGTTATTAGCACTGCCATTATTTCTTTTCTCAATAACTTATGAGAACCTTTATGGAAAAGACAGGGATTTCTGGCAACGTCTTGATACAGCCTCCTAACAGTTATAAAACAATGGATTTGTATAGTGATAGTAGGAACTGCTGATGCTGGAGAATCCGAGATAACAAGGTGTAGAGCTGGATGAACACAGCAGGCCAAGCAGCATCAGAGGAGCAGGAAAGCTGACGTTTCGGGTCTGGACCCTTCTTCAGGTTTTATATAGTGCTTTTTTTTTACCTCAGGATGACCTGAAATGCTTTACAACCAATGAAGTACTTTATCTACAAAGTTAGAGACTGCACTTAAATAATGTGGCAGACCATGCACAACAAGCTGCTGTAAATATCAATATGATACTACAAGATGATCAGAGGATTAGATAGGGTGGACAGTGGGAGCCTTTTTCCTCGGATGGTGATGGCTAGCACGAGGGGACATAGCTTTAAATTGAGGGGTGATAGATATAGGACAGATGTCAGAGGTAGGTTCTTTACTCAGAGAGTAGTAAGGGTGTGGAACGCCCTGCCTGCAAAAATAGTAGACTCACCCACTTTAAGGGCATTTAAATGGTCATTGGATAAACATATGGATGATAATGAAATAGTTTAGGTTAGATGGGCTTCAGATTGGTTTCACAGGTCGGCGCAACATCGAGGGCCGAAGGGCCTGTACTGCGCTGTAATGTTCTATGTTCTATGTTCTATAATGACCAGGTAATCCATAAAAACTATTTCTGACAGTTAAGAGACAAATATTAGTCAGAACATCTTTGGAGAATTCTGATGCTCTCCTGTTATGGGAACTCTTATATCCACCTTGGAGGGTGTATGGAATCTCAGTTTAGCAACTAATTCAGAAGACAGAACCTCGAGCGGTACAGTATTCTCTCAGGGGGGGGAGGATCGACTTTAGATTTGTTTTGCTGAAGTCTGATCTAAAAAGAAAGTGAACAGATAGTTCACTAACCATTGAGAGCCCATAAATAAAAAGACACCCCTCCCCAAACCTTTTGGCTCAGTGAGGAAATGCATTACCCTATGAAATGCTGAGCTGTACAGACCAAAAGCCCTTTGCTATATCCTCTATGTGGCTGCGTAGCTGGAGGTTTGGTGTTTTAATTTAAGAACCCATGAACCAAGCATAAGGGAATCAGTCAGGCATGCTGCTTGTAATCGCAATCCATCTGCTGGAGTGAATGCTTTGAGGATGCCAGGGATCGCCATTTAGCAGCATTGGCACTCAGAACAAGAGGAGTTCATTCATGCCCTGGTCTCTGTTCCGCTAATTGATTTGGTTACAGCTGTTTTCTGTTTAGATTTTATGTATTCACCTCGGTGTAGGGATGTTGTGGTGTTGTAGTTGTGTCCCTACCCCTGGACCTGGAAGTCCAGGGTCAAATCCCACCTGCTCCAGAAAGGTGTAATAATGTCTGAGTGGGTTGATTTGAAAAAATAGGTTAAATGAAAGAAAATTACCTTGATGTGGGGCTCTTGTGGTGCAGTGGCAATGTGCCTATCTCTGAGCCAAGGTACCTGATTTCATTTTGCACCAGCTCCAGAAGTGTGTGATATTATCTCTGAACAGGTTGATTAAATTGCCAGCTCAGATATCGTTAACGTACCAGTGGAATTCTGGGTTACTTAGGGGCGCTTGTGCAGTGGTAATGTCCCTACTTCTGAGCTGTGACCACAGAATCTCTACAGCGTTGAAGCAGGCCGTTCAGCCCATCAAGTCCACACAGACTCACCCCCAACCCTATCCCTGCATTTCTCACCCTAGACGCCAGGCAATTTAGCGTGGCCAAGCCACCTAGCCCGCACATCTTTGGACTGTGGGAGGAAACTGGAGCACCCGGAGGAAACCCATGCAGACACGGGGAGAATTTGCAAACTCCACACAAATAGTTGCCCAAGCCTGGAATCGAACCCGGGTCTCTGGCGCTGTGAGGCAGCAGTGCTAACCACTGTGCTGCCGCCATGAGGTCTGATCAAGTTGATTTTAAAATATCTTCACATTAGTCTGTCTCCCACATTGTTCTTGATTCTTGCCTGATGAATGTTTGTCTCAAGAGGTGGATTGAGAGAGTGAGCAAGGGAGGAGAGCAGCAACAGCTATCCTGGAGATGGCCCTCGTTGACGGTGTCACTCATGAAACAATGAAGGACTGTCACAAACTTTCCACTTCCCAGTCTCCAATTTGACTTGATACATTCTTCAGTTGAGATGGATCAACAACATCTTAGAATTTTATAGTGCAGTTAATACAGTAAACCTGTCCCAGGGCATTTCACAGGAAACAAAATTTGACCCGGAACTACATAGGGATATTTGGATGAATCACCAAAAACTTGGTCAAACAGGTAAGTTTTATGGAAGGTCTGAAAGGAAGACGGTGAGGTGGAGAGGTGGGAATTCCAGAGCTTAGAGCCTGGGCACCTACTGTCCCACCTTCAATACCGGAGAGATTTTAAACTGAGGATGTGCAAGAAACCAGAATCGAAGGAGCACTGAGATTTCAGTTGGTAGGATGTAGCACTGGCGATGGGGGTTACTGCTGCCAGATCGTGGGGTGATTTGGAAATAAGGCTGAGGATCTTAAAATCTAGTAATTGTTGCTTGGGATCCGAGGGAGGTCAGTGTATATGGATGATATGTAAGTGGAACCTGGCATGGGGAGGGGCTTGAACTTCACCTAATTGTGCTGACCTGGATGTGATCGAGGTGTCACTGAAGTGACCAGTGTCCTGTTTATCACTGAGCAAAAGGAAAACACGTATGTTTTACCTCACAACATGTCTCTATTGCAGGGCATCATTGGTGAGCTGCTGTTTTTATAATTTGCATCTAATCTGTACAGTGTTGCTTAATAGAGTTTAGAGCAAAATATATAATTGCTGATGTGGTGAAGCTAAGTGTGTGCTGAACTAAAACTAACTGGTGAATGTAACAGTATATCTTTCATGTGTCTCAAATGAATACTTAATAAGTAACTTAGTTACAAAGTTCTATTTCAAATCAAGTTGACAGAATCAGTGTAGCCAAAATCTCCTGTGTTGCCATGTAAACTAGCTGTACTGTAAGATTTGAACTTTGTACACTTTATAGCCAGGACATCATGACCAACACACAAACGCAGAGCAGGAATGCCTTGCTGTCATTGTGTCCTTTATGCCGAATCATTCTACCAGGAACAAACAAACAACATAGACGACTGGGAAACTCAACAGATCTGACAGCATCTTTGGAGAGAAAACAGTTAATGCTTTGAGTCCAGTGACTCTTCAGCTTATCAGGATTTAGGTTATTGCTGACTCAGTTTGGGGACAGAAGCCTTACCATCATTGGACACTGCATCTGCCTTTTTCACTTCCAGTTGGCAATGCAGAGCGAAGATGACAGCAGTTGTGGGTAATGATTGTGACCTGGACTGCACCAGCGCCCTGCGCACCACCCCCCCCACCCACCCCCAATGACTGAAGAAATTGTCATGTGAAATGAAGCAGGTGAAAAATGTAAGAACTTGTATTTTTATAGCATCTTTCACAATCTCTAGACATCTGGAAGTACTTTAAAGCCAGTGAAGTACTTTTGAAGCGTTGTTGCTGATCTAATGTAGGAAGTGGAACAGCCAATATGTTCTCAGCAAGATCCCACAATAAGGGTCCAGACCCGAAACGTCAGCCTTCCTGCTCCTCTGATGCTGCTTGGCCTGCTGTGTTCATCAGCTCTACACCTTGTTATCCCACAATATTAAGGTGTGTTTTTTTTGTGTTGGTCAAAGGTTAAATATTGAGCCAGAATATGAGGGAAAACTTCCATCTCCTCTTCCAAACATGTATTTTTTTTCCTATGTCCAACCCAGAGAGCAG